TATCTGTTATTGATCTTATTAATGATGATCTTGGGTCTACCCATTCTCAAATTCTCAAAAGACCAACTAAATTACCTAAAACTCTTGATAATAATGAAAAAAATGATACTTTGTTAGAAAATGAATATCTACTTGATTCTGTAAGTTCAGAAGATCAAAGTCATGAAAAACAATCAGATAACGAAGATAGTAAAAAAAAAAACGTAAATTTATAGGATAATGTTGAAGATAATGAAACTCCTAAACCTAAAAAAAAAAAAAAGAAAAACTACTCATAATTAAATTCAATATATTTTTGCAGTAATACCTATATAAATATGTAGTATAATTTTTCTTTAAATATAATTTTCATCTGTTATATTTAATAAAGGTTATATGAGAAATGAATTCTCAAAGTTTAATTCTTATTATATGATTTATTCAATTTTTTTATTATAATAATATTAAATAGTATTTAACGTTAATACAAAAAATATAATTTGATTAAAATTATTTTATTTAAAATATGTACTGTGTTAATATATATTATATTATTATAAGACCATCTAGTATAAAAGTATTACTACAACTATTCAATGATAAAATGATCTTTGTAAAGAAATGATACAAATTTATTATTGATCTTTTTTTTTCAGGCATCTATATCTAAAACTATTATAAGACGTTTTAATTAAATCAAAGTCAATTTATACTATTTATATGTTAATTAAAGTTTTAAATTATAAATTACATTAGAGTTTCTTTATTTACGTAATAAGAATTATAAATCACATCAAAATTACATTATTTTTATTAAAATTATAAATTAGTCTAAAATAGTTTCTTTTTCAATTAATTTTTCTTTATTTTAAAAAAATTAATAAAAAAATAAATATAAAAAGTAATATCATAATTTTTGTGATAACAGAGATATCTACAAGATCTACTTATAAATATAAAATAAATTACTTGATATCCATATTATTATATATTTATTATTATATCTTTTCAGATTTAATTTCTGATCTATCTATAAATTCCTTAATTTCTTTTAACAAAATAATAATGACTACTATTGAAACTAGACGTGAAACTAATAAAAGAAAAAATATTTGAACTTAATTGATTATAATAAATCTTTTGAGAGTTTATATTTAGTGATACCATAAGAGCATAATTGATTACTCTTTACAGAGATCATTACAACAAGCAATGCAGTATGAGAAACTATTTTTATTTCTTGTTCTTTAGTGAATTTTCTTTAGTGATTTATGAATATCATTATAAAATATAATCATTAGAGCAGTTAAAGGCTTAATTTATATAAATAAAAAATTAAATTTTTTACTATATTAGTATTAGAGATTTTAATTATCTAATTGCTACTCATTTCAGGTAAAAGTTTATTTCCTAGATCATGAATAATTTGTAATAATTTGATCATGATCATTTTAACATTATTTTTTGATATAAATTTTATCAATATTAAAATTACTAATTACAACATTGTGTGAATATTTCAGTATAAAATTAAACACTCATATTTTAATCACAGATCAATTGTGAGAAAATTACCTAAATCAGTAAAAAAAAAAAAAAAGCATGTACTTGTATATGTATATGTATTTAAAGATCAATCTAATTAACAAAAACTATGTAACCTTTTTTGTAACAAATATTACATTATATAATATAATGTTCATAAGATCGACCAGATTTGAATGTACTTAAATAATCATATGTACTCTTAAATTAATAGCCAAAAATAGTAAAGAGTAAACTACTTGTATACAGCCACAAAAAATTAACTAGAAAAACAACCTAAGAATCTATCTCTATATTATGCTTAAACCTAATAGATTTTATAACATAATTATTGATATTTATTTTTTTTATCTAACATAATTACAATACATAGCATATTAATTCAAAAATATTAAATCGATTTGATCTAATTATAAAATTAAACGTATTTTTGGTGTAAAGGCATAACCCCAAAAAAGATATGCACATGCAATGATCATGTTGTCTAATAGAATTTGAGATTTTGAACACAGTAACTTGCCTGTAAACCATACACTTCATTTCACTACATTTCTAGTAAAAGCAATATAATATGACAATTTGGGTCTTTTTTCTTTAACTAGAAACTTGATTTTGCAGAAAAATATTATGTGGACAAGATAGAAAAATTTAACGATTTAAGGAAAACGATTTATAACAATTTAAAGAGGAATTTATTTTAAAGATAAACAAATACTTCTTTTTAAGACTATTTAAGACTCAGAAGGTTTTACTTTTTTTGAACTTCAAGAGTTAATTTTTATTGAGAGCGATTATTCAGTCTATATATATATTTCTTCAATACATGATTTAATTCAAAGAATACAAAAAGTTCTTATTATTACTACTATTAACTCTATTCATTAACTACACTTCTTTATTGCTATTTATTATATAGTAACTATTCTACGAATTTTTGATATTATATATTTTTAATTTATTCTACCAATTCACCAAATTTCATAAATTTTATGAATTTCATAAATTTCGTGAATTGGTGTGATATCAGATCCGAGGTGTTTATCTCTCCTTTATAGTATTATGAAGGGGAGATCAATACCTCAGATCCAATGTCATACCAATTTATAAAATTCATGAAATTTATGAAATTTATGAAATTTGGTAAATTGGAAGAATAAACTAAAAATACATAATAACAAAAATTCTAGAATGGTTACTATATGATAAATAGTAATAAAGAAATATAGTTAATGAATAGAGTTAATAGTAGTAATAATAAGAACTTTTTGAAATCTTCGAATTAAATCATGTATTAAAGAAAAGTATATATAGACTGAATAATCGCCCTCAATAAAAACCCACACTTAAAGTTTAAAAAATTAAATCTTCTGAGTCTTGAATAGTCTTGAAAAAAAGTGTTTGTTTATCCCTAAATACATTTTCCTTAAAATTGTTATAAATCGTTTTGTTTAAATTGTTAATTTTTTCTATCTTGTCTTCGTAATATTTTCTCGCAAAATCAAGTTTCTAGTTAAAGTAAAAGACCTAAATTGTCATTTCGTATTGTTTTATATAGTATCTTTAAATTGATTAATTAATTGATCAATTTTGTAATTATTAAATTGAACTACCAATAAATTCATATCCTGTAACCCAGATTGTAACCCAAATTGAAACCCAATTCGCAACTCAAATTGTAACCAATTTGTAATCCGATCTATACTCAAATTGTAACCTATTCATAACTAAACTATAGCTTTCGATAAATATGACTAAGATAATCTGTAGACCCAACTTCTATAACCAAATACTTACTTAAGTAACTCTAACCTTGGACCAAGTTAATCCTTGCCTCTTTCAAGCCTTATCCAAGCTAGGGTTACCTCTTAGTTGGATTTTTGGATTTTCTCAATTCATTTATATAGATTAGTTAAACCTGAACCTCTGTGTAACTAAACCTTCAGACGAGTTCTAGCCTAGAACTAATTCTCACTTTTTCAGCGTACCCATCACTACATATATGTAACAGTGCCTAATATGTTATCTGAAATAGAACTTAAAAATTTAACAGATCTTTGTATTGCTTTTGCAGTCGTTGAGTATTTATATAAGGTTCTTGCACTGCTATTGCAGCCGCAGAGCCTTTTTTATTTTTTTTTAAAAAAAAAAATGGAAACAATGTAGCTATTTATAATTCATAGTTATTGGAAATGGGGAATGATAGCGAAAGAAGATAACTCTCCATATTCACTTTAAAATCCTTAAATATCTTTTTGTCTTTTATCGAGGGGGTATTGCAAAAAACAAGAAAACTATAATATACTATGAAAAAACTATGAAATACAATTATGAGTATTCTGTCCTTTCCACTTTCATACTATATATGCTAATAGTGCAGAGATCGAGAGTATCAATTCAAACCATAATGGATCCTCTTCTAAATGCTATTTTTGATCTGCAGAGTGAAATAAAAAAAACCAGATAATTAAATCTAGAAAAAACTCTTATTCCTTGTTAATTACTATGTTATATATACCAAACAACATTTTCTTTTATGTTTGTCATTTTGAAAACTAAAATTTCCTTGTGATGCCTGTAGAATCTAGAACAAATACTAAGTTTATTAGTACCTAAAAATTTTTATCTCAAGACTGTCATTCTGACAAGCTACTCTGACTTTGAACTAAGATAATTTTCCCTATGACTGTTGTCCTGATAAGCCACTCTTCAAAATTGTTATTTTTTCTTCATGACTATTATTCCAACAGGCTACTGAAACATAATTATAACTGACAGACTGGTTATAATCTAAAACATAATTAAAAAATAATAACTAAAAGCAATACCTATCATCTCATCTAGCTCTACAAGCTAAGTCTTTAAAGCTACTGCTGACCTCCAATGAGAGTTGGGTAGGGCAGGATAAAAAAACTAAACAAAGTTAGGTTAGCAGAAAAAACAGAAACTAGTCTCTCTCGAAAAAAGCCTGTTCTACTTAAATACTACCAATAATACCAATAATTACTAATTGAAAAAAATTATATCAAAGCCAAAGCCAAAATTATACGATAACTTAATAAATTAATCAATAAATCAATCAAGTATAAATCAACTTAATAACAATGGATCATATGATAATTTAATAACTCTATCAATAAATCAATCAAGCATAAATTACTTATAACAATAGATCATATGATTCAAGAAACTATGATCGATTCAAGACAAAATACTACTCTGATACTTTTGTATTGAGTAGCTATTTTTGTCTCTCATCAAGGGGTGTTGCAAAAAATAAGAAAACTATAATATACTATGAAAAAACTATGAAATACAATTATGGGTATTCGAAGAGCATTGCTATGAAAGCTCTGTTATCATATTTAGTAAGTCTATACTTTTCTAGCTAATTAAAGCCTATTAATCTTGAAGCTCCTATTTCAGCTATACTAATAGCTCTTGTGTACAGCTGTACTGCCTCTGACATCTAACTGCTAATTGACTGAATTTGCTCTATTGTCATTCCTCCTTTAATAGCTACTGTTGTACCCCAATTCTTAAATTGTATGCAGTATATCTTCCCTGTAACTCTGCATTTCTTGCAAAATGCTTAACTATAGCTGAAATGGCTACTACTGATAACTTTTCTCCTGTTCCTAACAGAAACAATAGTTTCTCTGCTGATGTACTTAGTCTCAACCTCAAGTATACCTTCAATAATTTAACTAAGCAGAAATTACTCACTATTTTTTCTATCAGAATAAACTTGCCCTTCCCCAGTTGATCTGTTTTGAACTTCGAAATCCTAATCTATACTTTTCCATCCTTTTTCAAAATATCAGATACTTTTAAATTATATAACTCTATCAGTCTGCACATTAACCTTAAACCTAAGCCTACCAAGGCTAAATTCCGAGCCCAAATTTCCATATGTACTTCTGGAGGTAAGCACTTCATATATTGTCTAACTACTCTAACTGGTAAAGAATCTCTTAGCTATTTGAATTCAGCCTTCCTTGGTACTGCTACTCTCTTAATTCTTTCTACTATTAAACAAACTAAGCTCCCCTTTGTTGAATCCTCGAGATTCCTTAATTTATACTCTCTGGCTACTGCTGCTAAATAAGTTAGCATCTCTGATATTCTACTTGAAACTTCTAACTATGTCAGAAAGGCCACTAGTAGCTTTCTTAACACTGGATAAGGTACAAAACCTGCACAGTAAGAAAACTTTTAAATATATCTCATGCTTTTTCTAATAGCTTTCAATAAGCTTCACTAATCGAACTGTTCATTAGGTATCTAGTTCTTTTGAGCAATCCCTGAACTAATTCAGCAGCACTGCTTTCAGGTACTACTAGTTGTTTTTGCATGGCTCTAAGTTTCAAGAAAGCTCTAGTAATACGATTTGCTTTGCTAGAGAAAAGTTGATCTCACTTCTAGGAGAGTTCATTATTATTAGCTACTATGGAGTTGAAACCTATACTAAAACTATTATTACTATTTATACTCTACATTCTTTCATATAGCACAGTACTCTATAAATTTAGCTGAAAGAAGGCACATATAATTCTTCACCCCAGCTCAATCCTAAGTGAAACAGTTCATAGCCTCTAATTCTGAGCAAAAATACAGATTGCTAAATCTTTATTTCTTTAAATTCAAGTGACTTGCAAACCTGTCTACTTCGAATTCTACCTAGACCAACTCTAACTAGTCTACTACTTCTAAATTCAGCATTCAATCCCCCATATAAGGAACTCTTGTTAAGAAATCTGCTAGATTTAGCTCTGATAGTACCTATTGTATACTGAAAATTGATATGTTGTTCTCTATGTAAATCTCTCAAATTTGTCTCATAATATCCTTTTGCCACAAGACGCAAATCATTAACTCTTCCCGTAGATCACTTGTACCAAAACTTCTCAAAAACATTTTGTTATAACTAAAAACTTTATTAAGTGAACAACTTTTAGACTTCTAAGCAAAATTGTTCTATACAAGATTTTGCTTCAGAATAGTCTAACTTTATATCTCTCAGACTCAAACTCGTCGAGATATTTTACTTAAACCATTAAACCATTCTTCCGAAAATTTCTCAATTTCTATTAAGTTATCAGCACTTGCTCATTAAAAGAGTTGTGTTCAGCTCAACTCAGGCTTTATTTTGACATAAATTTCACTCAAAACGGACCAAAACTCAGCATTTCACCTTCAAAAAACCGCTTCAGAGCTTTTTTCTTAAAATCTACTCTACTTTGTTCCTTTCCTCTTTACCCCCTTCAAAACCTGGGTCTAGGTCATGTGACAGCCCAGGAAAAACCATTGGTTCACCCAAAAATTACATATTCCTTTTAAATCTCAAACTAATTTAGCACAAATTAACTATTTACTTTTTTATTTTCTTTTTAATTTATACCGCATATAGTACAAATCTAATCTATTTTTAATCTAGTAATACATACTCGTACTCCGTACCACACCTGCTACACCAGCCATACTAGCCACCAAGCCACACTAGCCACACTAGTCACACTTTGCGTTACATCACGTTATACATGTTACACGAAACAAAAAATACCTCTTCGCGTACTCTTTTCTGACCTCATCCTTTTAAGTCCTAAATATGCCTACTCTAATTAGTCAGAAACCTGACTCCTACAATATTGACTACTACTACTCCAAATATAAGGATCACTTCAACAGTAATGAATGAAAGTAAAATATCTTCTCTCCATGTTTTAGCACAAAACATCAAACCTACTCACTGCGAAGAAAACAGTAAAAAACTTCACTACTTTCTTGTCCCCTTCAACCTATTATCGCTACATGTTTTTGTAGTTAATACTATACAAACTTTACCTCTCATCACTATACTCTAACTCATACTACCTTGGGAAATCCTGAAGCAATGGACATTTCCTCTACTACAATCTCTGTAAAAAACTACAAAAAAATTACTGATGAACTTATCTCTTCTCCTATTACTCGACCTACTCCT